TTACAGTGGCTGTTCATAATTTACATGAGTTACATTTCTGAAAACAACTTTATTAACCCTGAATCCCTTCATCAATGTTACATTGCTTACACTCCAACAGTATGCCCATTAACCCTTAAACTGTCCAAACGTAGATCTATGTTCACGTGCGTAGCACTCCGAACTTTCTATTTTACGTGTTTTCTCATGTAAAAAAAAAACGTAGCTCTACGTTCGGAGCGCTACGCATGTGCACGTAGATCTGCGTTTGGACAGTTTAAGGGTTAAGAGCCACTTGTCTCCCTTCACTCTCAACACTCACACAACCCTACTGGAAACCTCGTTTGCTCCCTCCCTCCAACCACTCCTGGGATGACCCCTACCCCTCCTGTTTTTCACTCCAGAAGTATACACACTCTTCATCATCCTATCCTCTCCCTTCTCTCCACATGCCCAAACTATCTCAAAAACCCCTCCTCAGCCTTCTGAATTAAACCCTTGGTGACTCCACGTCACCAAATTTCTATGCTCCAAATTCTCTACATGGTATTTAAACCACACACTGCTTTTAAATGTAACATCCATACTGCCTCCTCCTCGTCGGTATAGCATTTAAGACCTATGCCTCAATGGCACATAGAAGTGTTGATACCGCTATGGTACAATTTTTTTACATCCATAAACTTCTTGTCCATAGATGCCTCACCACAATGTCACTTTTTCCCCCCCTATCTATTCTATGGCTCACCTCATTTTTCATAGATCCATTTTTTCACAGACCCATGTCCTGACTAGTCCAGTCTCAAGTATCTAAGTACAGTGGTACCACGGGATACGAACTTAATTAGTTCCAGAAGGCCGAGTGCCAATCTGTTCGAGTACCGAATGAATTTGTTCCCATAAGGAATAATGTAAACTAGATTAATCCATTTCAGACCCCCAAATACACTTACAAAAGAACTTCCAAAAATACACTTACATAATTGTTAAAGTTCATATCCTGAGGTACCACTGTACATCCAATTCATCCATACCTCCATCCTGCAATTTGATATTCAATTTATCACTGCCTAGACTTTGTGTTACCCTCATCACTCTTCTCTATGCTCAGTTTTAATTTTGTATTTTTGCACTCCCTCTCAAATCCATCCACCAACCTTCATTTCTATAAAGTGGAATACAGTATATACTATTATACAATTAGGGCAAGTGACATATATTACTACCTGATATGTAAAACATATCAGATAGGCTTAAAACTAAATTATGATTGCAAATATATGAGAATAAGAATGAATGCACAGTTTTTAACCCCTTAACTGTCCAAACATAGATCTACATTCTCTCACCCAGCGCTCCAAATATTTAAAAAAAAAAAATTAATTAAATAAAGAGGACATTTTTTACATAAAGAAATGTAAAAAAAAAAATTTAGAGTCAGTACTTATGGAGATATAAGGCTGCAAAGTCGGTGCTTGTCACTCACCTGACAGCAACATGAAGCACTGCCACTTGCAGAAGTGTTGCCGATATAACTTTTTTCCTATTTCTTAATTTGTATAATTTTTATTTTCTGATAATTACAATTTGTAGTAGTTCCTGTGATTTCATAGCTAATCTTTGTTCTGACACTAATATTAGGTATTTAAATAGTACTCAAATAGTCACAAACACAGTGACAGATGAACATTTTCACCTACCTTAGTCATATACTATTGTCTAGAAATATATACATAGTATTTATAGGTCACAGCAATGTTTTGGATATGCAGGAGTATATAATAATAATAATAAGCTTCCTTGAAGCATGGTGTAAGACGAGTGTCACTCCACTGGTGACAGTGCAGAAGTGGTGACATTTGATGACTGTGCACTGCCTTAGCTTTATTTGTTTTCACTGTTGCACATAAACATGTCTGTCTGTCTGTGTAGCTCTCTGTCTATTTGTCTGTGTAGCTCTCTGTCTATCTAGCTCTCTGTTTATCTGTCTCTGCTTGTCTCTCTCTCTCTCTCTCTGTCTGTCTCAGAGAGAGCTACTCGTTAACCAACAGGTATTACACACGATGCAGTCATCGTGTCTGATTCCTGAGCAAGTGTAAATAGTATTACTTACCAGTCATGCTTACTATGCATTATATCTACAAGCACAGTACAGCACACTCGCTGGATTTTTTGGGTTATCCTAGGTAATCTACACTATGTATAATTGTATTTATGTGTACCTGTGATACACAGAGACAGAGATAGACAGACATACTACATAGATACAGACAGATGGACATACAGACAGCCGAAGTCAATCAGTCAGCCAAGCCAGCCAACAGCCAGCCAGCTAGCCGGCCTGCCTGCCTGCCTGCTGAATATGTATTGCACATTCCAGAATTTTCTCTCTTTACTTAGGGCATAGGTTATAAGACATTCTGTCAGAATGACACTACCAGTGGTACCAAAATTGAAAGGGTGTTGCACAAATGTTGCACATGGGTTATTTTCGAGGTTTTTGATATTTCCTTGAACACTTCCGGCGACATCCACCTCAAAGCCACTAAACTCGGGGTCAACACCACTTTCCTCTTAAAATGGGAGTGTTAATACTACATGACATCAGTGAATCCCAGGTGTCTGCCATGCTGTTTACTCTAGCTGGAGCTCCATTGAACTGGTGCTCCCACAAGGCACTAAGTGGTCCCAGATTTTTTTAATACTGCACACACCGAGTGTTAAGACCCATTCTATGCTGACAAGGCATCTCAGGCCAATCATGCCATATTTGGAGACAGGAAAAACAAAATGTAGATCTATGTTTGGAGTGCTTGCAGTAAGAACGTAGATCTACATTTGGACAGTTAAGAGGTTACAAGTAGTTTTGAAGTGGCTGGCATGTACACAGAGAGACAGACAGACAGAGAGACAAAGACAAACAGAGAGAGAGAGAGAGGGAGAGAGAGAGAGAGAGAGAGAGAGAGACGAGAGAGAACGAGAGAGCGAGAGAGAGAGCGAGAGAGAGAGCGAGAGAGAGGCGAGAGAGAGAGAGCGAGAGAGAGAGCGAGAGAGAGAGAGCGAAGAGAGAGAGAGCGAGAAGAGAGAGAGAGGAGAGAGCGAGAGAGAGAGAGAGAGAGAGAGAGAGCGAGAGAAGAGAGCAGAAGACAGAGAGCGAGAGGAGAGATGCCGAGAGAGAAGAGCGAGATGAAGAGTCGAGAGAGAGAGAGAGAGAGCGAGAGAGAGAGAGCGAGAGAGAAGAGAGATGCGAGGAGGAGAGAGAGCAGAGAGAGAGCGAGAAGAGAGAGCAGGAGCAGCGAGAGAGTGCGAGAGAGAGAGAGCGAGAGAGGAGGAGAGAGAGACGAAGGAGTTCAAGAGAGAGCGGAGAGAGAGAGAGAGATGAGCGAAGAGATGAGCGAGAGGAGAGTAGAGAGAAGCTGATGAGAGAGAGAGCGGAGAGATTGAGAGCGAGAGAGAGAGAGGAGAAGAGAGAGCGAGAGAGAGAGAGCGAGAAGGGGAAAAGCGAGAGAGAAGAGCGAAGAGAGAGAGCGAAGAGAAGAGCGGAAAAGAGAGACGAGAGCAGAGAGAGAGGAGAGAGAAGCGAGAAGAGAGGGGAGAAGAGACGAGAGAGAGAGGAGAGAAGAGCGAGAGAGAGAGGGGCGAGAGAGAGACAGGGGGACAAAAAGACGAGAAAAAAGGCCAGAGAGAGACAGACAGAGAGCAAGGAGGCAGAAGAGAAAGACAGAGAAGAGAGAAAGAGAAGAGAAGACACACACAGAGACAGACAGACAGACAGACAGACAGACAGAGACAGAGTTACTAGTATGCCTAAATTCTAGCGCCTTCAAATCTAGCAAGAGAAAGCTGGTAGGCCTACCTATGAAAGAATGGGTCTATGTGGTCAGTGTGCACAGTATAAAAAAAAATCCTGCAGCACACAGTGCATAATGAGAAAAAAAAAACTTTGACCATGTTTTTGGTTTAAAACAGCGACTTGGCACTGTATTTTCGTATGGTATTTATGGTTGTATTCTAGTTTTCCAGGTCTTATTTTATATAATGGAAGCTATATTACAGAAATTGAGACGACTTTGATTAGTTTCACAATGAAAAGTATCTTGAAATTGAGCTCAAAGTAGCAGAAATGTTCGATTTTTGCCAAAGTTCAAAAGTAAACAAATCATGCCAAGCGTCCAATACACGTCAACTGGTGAGTCTAATATTCTTTCACAGGTGCTCTGATATTATTTATACCATTTCTACACTAATGCAATAGTCTGCATAACAGTAAATCATCTATTTTTTTTGTGACAATAAAAATTCAAAGTGAAAAGCAAAAGAAATGTAAGAGGGGTGTGGGGACATGACTAATGAACACAGGAAATGTTATTTTAGTGCCATGAATGTCTGTCTTGTTTATTCTGGACCCTATTTGGAAATTGGCATCTTTTGAAATTTGTGTGAAATTGGCAAAATTGCTAATTTCTGACCACTTTATTGGATAGTTGAAATCGGTAAATGGGTGGTTTCTTGTACTCATTCAATAGAAAAAATGGAGTTCTAGCTAAATAGCTATGATTTTTGTCAACCAGTACACTGGAATTGGCCAAAAATAGGGCTCAGTGTGGGTGAAATCGTCAATGCGTAAACATCGTCGAGACTGCTAACTTCGCGAGAGCATAATTCCATAAGTTTTCCATCAAATTTCATACTTTTGGCATAGGAGAGGGCCTCTCGACCCTGAAAGGGTTAAGTAGGTTTATGCCTTTGAAGGGTGGGATAGTGTGTTGTCTGTCAGTAGCCTTATCTTGAGAATTTCCCAAAAGAACTACCATCAGCAAAGAGCAACAGTGATAAAAGCTCACTTTGTATTAGATGTAACATCTTTCAACCCTTTCAGGGTCGCCAGGCCCTCTCAGAGACTTGTTCTCAGGGTCGCCAAAATTTCAAAAAAAAAAAAAAAAAAATTTCTTATGAAAAGACAGCTTTTTTTTTTTCTAAACATTATAGGCTAAACAAAAATTTTTACCATCAATACTTACCGAGATATGGAGGCGTGAAGTTGACAGAAAATGACCTGCATACGGTAACATTGCCGACTGCTGGTCACCAGGTATTACTTTATTTTTTTAGGTACTATTTTCTATTATTTTTTTATTTTTTTTTTCCAAGTACCTTTTATGGCCTGTGAGACCAATATGAGCACTATTTTTCTCTTTATTTACTACACAATAACTGCATAAACACTGTTGTCACTGCTTTGTTTACAAAAAATATTTACACAAACAATATGAAATGTTGTTTATTACTATTTTTCTATATTTTATATACACATATACAGTCACAGGGAATGTTTCTAGAAGTTCTGCAGCCTGTGGAAGTCTTTGAAACATGGTGTCATGCACAGTGGTATTTTACACTCATCACACACGTGATTTTGGTGAAAGCAGTATTGTGTTTGCCATGGTGTACTCGTAGTATCTGTTGCTTTCCCTGACAATAATTTCCATCAGGGGTTCGTCAAAGAATAACTCGAAGCATTCCAGTTCAGTGGCATTGTTCCCCAGTGTACAACATGGCCATATTCCACTTTGGCTTTCATCAAACTGGTGGGGATTTGGAACAAAATTGACAGCTTCCTGCCAATCCCAGGTGCGGTCTGCTGGTGGGTACTGGACATTGACAGGTGGTTGTGGTTTTGGAGGTTGTGGTTGTGGAGGCTAGTGTGGTGGGTGGGTGGGGGATGGTGGCCTTTATTGTAGATCAGCTGAGGCAGCGGTGTAGGTGGCAGCACGGCCCACTGCTGGTTCCTCACAGCCGGCACCACCACTACCACCAACATGCACATTTTTCATCCCAATTGCAACACTATCATCTTCATTTTCACTGTCTGTTCCTGTTGTACAGCCACGGGATGTACTCCGAGATGTACTCTTTCCCCTTGGAATAGCATATGGCACACTACCAGAGCGCATATATCGTTGTATATACTGACGCTTCACTGGAGAATATTCCATTTCACTATCACTACTGGAACTGTTTTCAAGAGCTTGTAGTTCATATTCACTATCACTATCATCACCAATGCTCACATCTGACTCTGGGATTTGGGAAAATAGGAGTTTCCTCTTTGATTCTGGTACAACTGAACGTGAACAAGACGGCCCAGCAGCAGAGGTGGAAGGCTGAGGATCGTCTGGGTTTTCCTCACTGTTACCGATATTATGGTCATTAGTTTCGGTCACAACCTCACCAAAACACTGAAACTCATCTTCACTGGCACTTCCATCTGTATTAGAACTGTCACTGGGGAACAAAAGTGTCCCAATTCGCCGAGGAGTGAGGAGCTTCTTACCACGAGGCATGGTGAATAAGGTCTACTAAAATGGTGTTCCCACAATGCACCACTGGGTCCCAGATTTTTTCTACCGCGCACACCGACCACACGCACCCATTCTCTCACATCTAGGCCTACCAGCCTTTTCCCGCAAGATTTGAAGGAGCTAGAATTTGTGTACTAGTATGTCAAAAACACTGGCGCGTAAGCCGTACTAATATGTTCAAAACCCTGAAAGGGTTAATCCCACATCTCTTGCTTAAACCCTAGCATTCACTTCTTTTACAATCCCATCTAGAGATACATTAAAATAACCACGGTGGCATCACGCATCACTGACCAAGTCCTACTTTCACTGCTAAACAGACTGGGTAGAGTAGGTGAAGGGTGGGTGTGAGTGGTGGGTGTGAGCAATTTTATAAGTTTTAAAATCTCCTTAGAAGTTTTTAAATCTATTTGATTAGTAATTTTGCTTTTAGGGTACACTCATAATTATTCTCGCAAGGGCTGCATAGAACTACTTGAGCCAGTCTTTTGTGACCATAAACTGCCTACTTTATTTAATTTATTTATTTGGATTTTTGTGGACAGTATTTACAACAGTAATGTTTTGTAATGCTGAAGAAGCTGTCTGTTCCAGAATTTATAATACAGTTGAGACACATCCGTCTTTCCCAACTTGTGTACCTAATGGCATCAATTAAGGACTATACTAAAAAATCATTTCATCTCTCAATAACAACCATACCCACACTATGCTAAACTAACCAAATTTAAAGCAACTCTCCCAAATATTTTATTATCCCTTAACTATTATGCCATTATTACAAACTTAAAAATATATGTTTGTATCATTCACTGTACTACCTCATATTAATAATAGAGTAAAATATTGAATACAGTAGGACCCCGCTTTATGGCGTTCCGCTAATACGGACGTTTCAAATTATGCCCAAAACTCGCTATACGGCTCCCCCAACCTGACTTTCTAATACGGTCGCCGCGCCCCACCCAGTTTGTCTACATTCTCCGTGACCTCCATGAGCACCACATCTCTCCATTATGTCTGGAAACTCCGAAATTTCAAGTGTTTTTAAAAGTTATTGCATATTTTATATACATATATATTTTTTTAACAAGTCGGCCGTCTCCCACCAAGGCAGGGTGACCCAAAAAGAAAGAAAATCCCCAAAAAGAAAATACTTTCATCATCATTCAACGCTTTCACCTCACTCACACAATCACTGGTTTTGCAGAGGTGCTCAGAACACAACAGTTTATAAGCATATACGTATAAAGATACACGACATATCCCTCCAAACTGCTAATATCCTGAACCCCTCCTTTAGAGTGTAGGCATTGTACTTCCCATTTCCAGGACTCAAGTCCGGCTATATAAAAATAACCGGTTTCTCTGAATTCCTTCACTAAATATTACCCTGCTCACACTCCAAACAGATTGTCAGGCCCCAAATACCATTCGTCTCCATTCACTCCTATTGAACACGCTCATGCACGCCTGCTGGAAGTCCAAGCCCCTTGCCCACAAAACCTCCCTTACCCCTTCCTTCCAACCTTTTCGAGGACGACCCCTACCCCGCCTTCCTTCCCCTACAGATTTATACACTCTCCATGTCATTCTACTTTGATCCATTCTCTCTAAATGACCAAACCACCTCAACAACCCCTCTTCAGCCCTCTGACTAATACTTTTATTAACTCAACACTTTCTCCTAATTTCCACACTCTGAATTTTTTGCATAATATTTGCACCACACATTGCCCTTGGACAGGACATCTCCACTGTCTCCAACCACCTCCTCACTGCTGCATTCACAACCCAAGCTTCACACCCATATAAGAGTGTTGGTACTACTATACTTTCATACATTCCCTTCTTTGCCTCCATAGATAACGTTTTTTGTCTCCACATATACCTCAACGCACCACTCACCTTTTTTCCTTCATCAATTCTATGATTAACCTCATCCTTCATAAATCCATCCGCCGACACGTCAACTCCCAAGTATCGGAAAACATTCACTTCTTCCATACTCCTCCTCCCCAATTTGATATCCAATTTTTCTTTATCTAAATCATTTGATACCCTCATCACCTTACTCTTTTCTATGTTCACTTTCAACTTTCTACCTTTACACACACTCCCAAACTCATCCACTAACCTTTGCAATTTTTCTTTAGAATCTCCCATAAGCACAGTATCATCAGCAAAAAGTAACCGTGTCAATTCCCATTTTGTATTTAATTCCCCATAATTTAATCCCACCCCTCTTGCAAACACCCTAACATTTACTTCTTTTTCAACCCAATCTATAAATATATTAAACAACCATGGTGACATTACACATCCCTGTCTAAGACCTACTTTTACTGGGAAGTAGTCTCCCTCTCTTCTACACACCCTAACCTGAGCCTATCCTCATAAAAATTCTTTACAGCATTTAGTAACTTACACCTATTCCACTACTTGCAACATCTGCCACATTGCTCCCCTATCCACTATCATATGCCTTTTCTAAATCCATAAATGCAATAAAAACTTCCCAACCTTTATCTAAATACTGTTCACATATATGCTTCAAGGTAAACACTTCATCTACACATCCCCTACCCACTCTGAAACTTCCTTTCTCATCCGCAATCCTACATTCTGTCTTACCTCTAATTCTTTCAATTATAACCCTACCATACACTTTTCCTAGTATACTCAGTAAACTTATTCCTCTATAAATTTTACAATCTCTTTTGTCCCACTTCCCTTTATATAAAGGGACTATACATGCCCTCTGCCAATCCCTAGGTACCTTCCCCTCTTTCATACATTTATTAAACAAAAATACCAACCACTCCAATACTATATCCTCTCCTGCTTTTAACATTTCAAATTCAAGTTTATTCTCTATAAGGGTTACAATGTGGGGTTTACAGGTTTTGGGTATTGTGTGGTTTACATGTTATAAAATACTAATTACAGAGGGGGCCACTAGGACACCTAGCCTGGCTAGGCATTTCGGGCAGACTTAAGATTAATTCCTAACATTAAACCCTTACAGATTATGGTATTAAGGCTAAGTGACTACATCATAATTTGTGAGTTTAGCAATGTGAATGCTTTTGTTTTGACACAATACAAAGTGTCTATATTGGAGTATCATGGGCAAACTTATGACTAGTTAGGATTTATTATTTTAATATTAAGATTAGTATTTCTGGGTTTATAGTCAGTGGGCGAGCGGGTAATTGTGAATCACCAGGTGGTTATCATGTAGTTAGTTGTCGGGGTGGATCAGGGAGATAAGATGTTTTCTAACTGTAGTTTTGAAAGAGATGAATGTGGCTGCAGTTCTAGAGTTTTCAGGTAGGGTGTTCCAGATTCTAGGTCCTTTGAAATACATTGAATTTTTGTAAAGGTTTAGTCGAACACGGGGAATGTCATAGAGATGTTTGTGTCTCTTGTTATGCCTGTGGATCCTGTCACAACTATCAAGAAAGCATTTTAGGTCAAGGTTAATATTGGAATTTAAGGTCCTGTAGATATAGACTGCATAATAGTAAGTGTGGATGTTCTGAACAAGAAGTAAGCTTAGATCTATGAAGAGTGGGGGGGGTGTGTTGCCAGGGATGGGATTTAGTGATTATTCTTACTGCGGCTTTTTGTTGGGTTATTATTGGCTTTAGGTGTGTCACTGCAGTTGAACCCCAAGCACAGATAGCATAGGTGAGGTATGAATATATAAGTGAATGGTATAGTGTGAGAAGGGCAGTTTGCGGCACGTAGTATCGTATCTTGGAGAGGATCCCCACCATTTTGAATACTTTTTTTTGTCATAATCCCGTCAGTTCCAGCTGCTTTACCCCCTTTCATTCTACGTAATGCCTCTCGCACCTCCCCCACACTCACATCCTGTTCTTCTTCACTCCTAAAAGATGGTATACCTCCCTGGTCAGTGCATGAAATTACCGCTTCCCTTTCTTCATCGACATTTAAAAGTTCCTCAAAATATTCTCGCCATCTACCCAAAACCTCCATCTCCCCATCTACTAACTCCCCTACTCCGTTTTTAACTGACAAATCCATTCGTTCTCTAGGCTTTCTTAACTTGTTTAACTCACTCCCAAATTTTTTCTTATTTTCATTAAAATATCTTGACAGTGCCTCTCCCACTCTATCATCTGCTCTTCTTCTGCACTCTCTCACCACTCTCTTCACCTTCCTTTTACTCTCCATATACTCTACTCTTCTTATAACACTTCTGCTTTGTAAAAGCCTCTCATAAGCTAACTTTTTCTCTCTTATCACACCCTTTACTTTTTCATTCCACCAATTACTCCTCTTTCCTCCTGCAACCACCCTTCTATAACCACAAACTTCTGCCCCACATTCTAATACTGCATTTTTGAAACTATTCCAACCCTCTTCAACCCCTCCCCCACTACTCATACTTGCACCAGCCCACCTTTCTACCAATAGTTGCTTATATCTCACCCGAACTTCCTCCTCCCTTAGTTTATACACTTTCACCTCCCTCTTGCTTGTTGTTGCCATTTTCCTCTTTTCCCATCTACCTCTTACTGTAACTGTAGCTACAACTAAATAATGATCCGATGTATCAGTTGCCCCTCTATAAATGTGTACATCCTGGAGCCTACCCATCAATCTTTTATCCACCAATAAATAATCTAACAAACTACTTTCATTACGTGCTATATCATACATTGCACAGTGGTCCCTGAATTATCGTCCATGATCCGTTCCTGGAAGTGGGACTATTATCCAAATAGATGATTTTCGAATCAATTTTCCCCATAAGAAATACTGTAAATACAATTAATCCATTACTGACACCCAGAAGTATTAAAGCAAAAAAAATTTTTTATGTGAAATGTAGATGTAGTACATAAACAATACAACGGCACATGATGAATGAAACATTAATAGCATAATACTTACCTTTATTGGCGATTCTTCTTAGTGTATGGAAGACTGGAGGAGGAAAGAGATTGAATTACTGG